TCATATTCCATTATATATATAAATCTCACAGATTTTATATATATATAATTGTATGTTTATATACTATACATGTATATATACATATATACATATAATGTATATAATGTATACATATAATGTGTGATGTGTATATATATATATAAAATCTGTGAGATTTATATATATAATGGAATATGACCATATATATGTAGTGGAATATTACTCAGCCATCAAAAAGAATGAAATCTTGCCATTACATACATTACATGTATATAATATATACACACATATATTATAATATATATAATATATATATGTATATATACACTTATTTATATATTTTATATATACACACACACACACACACATACACACACACACACACATCTTTATCTATTCATCAGTCGATAGACATCTGGGCTCCGAATCACTATGTTTATATCCTTTGGATAAATGCCTACTAGTGCAATTGCCGGGTCATAGGGTAGTTCTATTTTTAACTTTTTGAGGAGTCTCCATCCTGTTTTCCAGAGTGGCTCTACCAGTTTGCCTTCCCACCAACAGTGTAAGAGGTTTCCCCTTTCTCCACATCCTTGCCAACATCTGTTGTTTCCTGAGTTGTGAACTTTAGCCATTTTGACTGGTGTGAGGTGGTATCTCATTGTGGTTTTGATTTATATTTCCCTGATGCCAAGTGATGTTGTGCATCTTTTCATGTGTCTGCTAGCCATTCGTATCTCTTCTTCAGAGAAATGTCTGTTCATGTCTTCTGCCCATTTCTTGACTGGATTTTTTATTTTTTTGGAGTATTGAGTTTGATAAGTTCTTTATAAATTTTGGATACTAGCCCTTTATCCAATATGTCATTTGCAAATATCTTCTTCCATTCCATAGGTTGCCTTTTAGTTTTATTGATTTTTTCCTTTGCTTTGCAGAAACTTTTTATCTTGAGGAAGTCCCAATAGTTTATTTTTGCTTTTGTTTCCCTTGCCTCCTAGAGACGAGTCTAGTAAGAAGTTGCTGTGGCTGAGTTCAAAGAGGTTGCTGCCTGTGTTCTCCTCTAGGATTTTTGATGGATTCCTGTCTTACATTTAGGCTTTCATCCATTTGGAGTTTATTTTTGTATGTGGTGTAAGAAAGTGGTCCAGTTTCATTCTTCTGCATGGGACTGTCCAATTTTACCAACAACATTTATTGAAGAGACTATCTTTTCTCCATTGGATATTCTTTCCTGCTTTGTCGAAGATTAGTTGACCAGATAGTTGAGGGTCCATTTCTGAATTCTCTATTCTGTTCCATTGATCATGTGTGTTTTTGTGCCAGTACCATATTGTCTTGATAATTACAGCTTTGTAATACAGCTTAAAGTTCAGAATTGTGATGCCTCCAGCTTTAGTTTTCTTTTTCAGCTTTACTTTGGCTATTTGGGGTCTTTTCTGGTTTCATACAAATTTTAGAATTTTTTGTTCCAGCTCTGTAAAAAATGCTGGTGGTATTTTCATGGGGATTGCATTGAATGTGTAGATTGCTTTGGGGGGTGTAAACATTTTAACAGTATTTGTTCTTCCAATCCATGATCAAGGAATGTTTTTCCATTTCTTTGCGTCTTCTTCAATTTCTTTCATAAGTGTTCTATAGTTTTCAGAGTACAGATCTTTTACCTCTTTGGTTAGGTTTATTCTTAGGTATCTTATGGGTTTTGGTGCCATTGTAAATGGGATCAATTCCTTGATTTCCCTTTCTGCTGCTTCATTATTGGTGTATAAAAATGCAACAGACTTCTGTGCATTGATTTTATATCCTGCGACTTTGCTGAATTCCTGTATAAGTTCTAACAATTTTTTGGCAGAGTCTTTTAGGTTTTCTACAGAGTATCATGTTGTCTGCAAAGAGTGAAAGTTTGACCTTTTCCTTGCCGGTTTGGATGCCTTCTATTTCTTTTTGTTGTCTGACTCCTGAGGCTAGGACTTCCAGTACTATGTTGAATGACAGTGGTGAGAGTGGACATCCCTGTCATGTTCCTGACCTTATCGGAAAAGCTCTCAGTTTTTCCCCATTGATGATGATATAAGCTGTGGGTCTTTCATATATTGCCTTTATGATGTGGAGGTATGTTCCTTTTATCCCTACTTTCTTAAGGGTTTTTATCAAGAAAATATGCTGTATTTTGTCAAATGCTTTTTCTGTATCTGTTGAAAGGATCATATGGTTATCATCCTTTCTTGAATCAATGTGGTATATCACATTGATTGATTTATGGATACTGAACCACTCCTGAAGCCCAGGAATAAATCCCACATGGTCATGGTGAACAATCCTTTTAATGTACTGTTGGATTTGAATAGCTAGTGTCTTGTTGAGAATTTTTGCATCCATGTTCACCAGGGATATTGATCTGTAATTCTCCTTTTATAAAGTGGGGTCTTTGTTTGGTTTTGGGATCAAGGTAATGCTGGCTTCACAGAATGAGTTTGGAAGTTTTCCTTCCAGTTCTATTTTTTGGAACAGTTTCAGAAGAATAGGTATTATTTCTTCTTTAGATGTTTGATAGAGGGGCACCTGGGTGGCTCAGTTGTTTTAAGCGTCTGCCTTCGGTTCAGGTCATGATTCCAGGTCCTGGGATCGAGCCCGCATCAGGCTCTCTGCTTGGCAGGAAGCCTGCTTCTCCCTCTCCTGCTCCCCCTGCTTGTGTTCCCTCTCTCGCTGTGTCTCTGTCTGTCAAATAAATAAATAAAATCTTAAAAAATAAAAAAAAATAAATAAATGTTTGATAGAATTCCCCCCTGGGAAGCCATCGGGCCCTGGACTCTTGTTTGTTGGGAAATTCAATTTTTGATTCAATTTCTTTGCTGGTTATGGGTCTCTTCAGGTTTTCTATTCCTGTTTCAGTTTTGGTAGTTTATGCTTCTAGGAACTCATCCATTTCTTCCAGATTGCCTAATTCGTTGGCATATAATTGCTCATAATATTCTCTTATAATTGTGTTTCTGTGTTGTTGATTGTGATCTCTCTTCTTTCATTCATGATTTTATTTATTTGGGTCCTTTCTCTTTTTGGTAAGTCTGGTTAGGGTATCAATTTTGTTAATTCTTTCGAAGAAACAGCTCCTACTTTGTTGATCTGTTCTACTGTTTTTTTTTTTTTAATTTCTGTACCATTTATTTCTGCTCTAATCTTTATTATTTCCCTTCTCCTGCTGGATTTAGGCTTTATTTGCTGTTCTTTTTCCCAGTTCCTTTAGGTGTAAAGGTAGGTTCTATATTTGAGACTTTTCTTGCTTCTTGAAGAAGACCTGTATGGCTGTGTACGGCTTTGTTAGGACCACCTTTCCTCGTCTCAGAGGTTTTGGACTGTCATATTTTCATTTTCATTTGCCTCCATGTATTTTTTTTAATTCTTCTTTAATATCCTGGTTAACCCATTCTTGAGTAGGATGGTCTTTAACCTCCATGTATTTGCGGTCTTTCCAAATTTTTTCTTGTGATTGACTTCACGTTTCATAGCATTATGGTCTGCAAACATGCATGGTATGACCTCAGTCTTTTTGTACAGGTTTAGGCCTGACTTGTGACCCAGTATGTGATCTATTCTTGAGACTGTACCATGTATAATGGAAAAGAATGTGTATTGTGCTGCTTTAGGATGGAATGCTCTGAATATATCTGTGAAGTCCATCTGGTCCAGTGTGTCATTCAAAGCCCTGGTTTCCTCGTTGATCTTCTGCTTAGATGATCTATCCTTTGCTGTGAATGGGGTGTTAAAATCCCCTACTATTATTATATTATTATCAATGAATTTCTTTAAGTTTATTATTAAGTGACTTATGTATTTGGTTGTTCCCAAATTAGGGGCATTTCCCCTATTATTAAAGCATAATTCTAAATTTTTAGATAAGTCATAAATTTAATTGCAAAAGTTAAAGAGGAGTATATCATTCTTAAAGATCTGTACATGTTATTGTTTGTTGAACAATCTCAACAAACAAACCTCAAATTTACCACAGAAAAGAGAGTGGTAATGAGTTACGGTATTTAATAAAATTCTAGACCCTGTGGCTTGGATGTTAGATGGTTGCACTGCATTTATTTTGTTGAAATGGCAGAGTATGTCTTTTATTTTTCAAATGAAGTCAAATTACGAAATGCCACTTGATGTTATAAATCCGCATATTTTTGTCGGGCATGATTTCTTCCATACAGACTCCAGCTTTATGTCCACTAGAAGAAATAAAAGTACATAAAGAAAAATAAATTCAATTAAAATGTATATAAGGAAAAATTTATACAAAGTTATAAATTATCTGGGAAAGATCTCAAAGGGAGTAGACTTTCTTACACAAAAAGAATTTCATAAATAGCTAGAAATGCTATTCTAAATTATTGCAACATCACATTCAGATAGTAGCCAGATATGAAAAGCACTATTATGGAAGAATTCATATCTGGGAATGAATATGATATGAAGTATTTTTTCTCTTCTCTGAGTCAGATAACAAAAAATACAAGCAGGAAGAATTTGTAGAAACCAAAAATAACAGGTTTGAGAAAGGGTTAAAGTCATTTCTAACCATTTTGGATGTGATAGAGATGCTAAAAATAGGGGTTTTCTTTTCCCGTCTTATGGTCTGTGGTTGGCCGAGAAAGCATCTTGAATTGAAGTGAGCAACAGGGACAAATAAGTAAATATAGAAAGGGTATGTATATCAGTATTGCCAGGAATTTAACCATAAAATAATATTCCATGATTATTTAAATATCCATGATTATGATTATTAATAAAATAATTAGGAGACAGTTTTATTATAGAGACTTTAAACAGACAAAAATCAAAATAAAAATACTTTTTCAAACTTTTTATAACTAGGTGCTCTAGCCTAATCATGCATCCTCTGTTCTACTGGGCACAACCCATATATTAAAAATACGTCTATGTACGAACTCATGTTTTTATTTTCATCCCAAACCATTTAAGTTGTACAAATACTGTTATGTTTTTTCCTGAAGCCAAAAATCAATTTAAGAAGAAAGGAAAAGAGAAGAGGGTATTAGGAGGGATGCTGCTTATGACCCAACAATTTGCAAAAGATGTAAGAGGAAAAAAGTGAAAGGATAAGTACAGTTTAAAGATGTCTTATTCTATGTGGTCTGGTTTAAGTGCTAGCCTAATAGTCATTACAACTTTGTAACAAGATTAGTTAGACAAATTGAGAATAAATACTTATGTTCACTTATAATAATTTGATACTATGACATTTTGATCAAATGATACAAAATGACAGCCCACAATGATTTGGAAATTAAACCAAACAAAACCAAACCAAATCAAACAAAATTGGTCCTGACCACATTTGAGAAACACTGAGAGTTCAAGCTTAAATACGATACACTATATATCTTGGTCAATAGATAGAAAAAACACTAGGATAGGGTTTTCATAGTACCCCCTTGCTATTATTACTCTTTGGTGAGTCCTGAGAAGCCCTTTAGCATAGTGTGTATTTTGGGGCTTTGAGCCCCCTGATGTTCTTTCTTGGGTGGAGGGTGTATTTTCTCTTTTACAGGGTATTATGACTTTCATGACTGCCTAATACTGCTAGAGGAGAAATATCTCGATGTTTTGAAGACAATTCTAAGAATCCCTGTAGTAAGGAGAATAAGTACTAAGTACCAGATTGAACTCAGGCTTCTCATATATCATGCATTTTGTTTTTTATATTCTTATTTATTTGGAGACATTTTGTCTCTAAAAGCTCAAGTGTGTTATTTGGATAATTGATATAAAACAAGTCTGTAGGCATTTCTATAAAAAAAAAACAACATCTGGTAGATCAAGAAAAAAAAGGGGGGGAGTGTTTTTAAAGGAAAAATCCTAAATGGTTTGGTGTTGAGGGGCAAGTCATGAAGGGAGAAGATTGATGGCACAAGATATTTGAACTTGAAATGAGATAGAAAAATTAGCCAAACTGATGTGTGGAAATGAATCCAAAGTTAAAGGACTCAGAAGTGGTGGTAATTGCCATACCTTACAGAAGGGTGATCTCAGGAATCACTGCTCCCTTCTCCCCAGTATCCCTTATAATTACACTTTACTTAAGGGATCACTGTACAGATGTAAAATATGTTGTGCAAACATATTTTAATGCATATCTGAGAGGCCATGATTATGTGGGTGGTATTTCAAACACTAGCATATCTGCAAGGGGAGAACTCTGTAGATATTTAAGACAGTGCAGTAACTCAATAGGCTTGAGGATCCTGAGTATCTGGGTGGCAATGCATAAGCTCCCTTGACTATGCAGACAAATAGAAAAAAAAAAAGCTGAAGGGCTGAACTGTTACTCATAATCTGTATTTACTCCAAAACTAAAGGAGGATGGTGAACTATAGAAAGAGGACCATCACAGCCTGAGAAAACAAAGTACTTTCATCCACACTAATGGAACCTCAGTTCTCTTCAGAGCAGCAAAGAAGCCAGTTCAGCTTTTCACCACTCTAAACATACTTGCAGCTTGGGATGGCTAGTGACTCAGTTTTGAGCAAAGAAATATAAGTGAGGGTTTCCAATCTGACATGTAAAAGAACTTGGAAATCATCAGTCCCATCCTCACAAGAGAAAAATTGAACAAACTAAAAATCAACAGCTCTTCTTAGATCCACCAGAGAATTGAGGTCATGGGACAAATGAGAAACAAACAATGCTGCTGGAGCCAATACTGTTCCAAGAGGAACACTCAAACTTTAATGGATGAATTGCCGAACCTCACTATGGATTAGCTTCAAAGTTACAAACTTAGGGTGGGGGAGCAGTCTTAGCGAGACCCTCATATTTCCTTGAGTTTTACCTCTAGGAGCCCCACCAGGTCTTCTTGTGATAATCAGGGGGAAAATCTCCTTTAGCTTCCAGCAGTGGGAGGGGAAAAGCAACTATTTTGAAATTCTCCTGAGCTCTCTCTCCTCTTTAATAGGGCATGCCCTCAAAGGAAACTGTTTTGTGACAACCTAACCAATCTGGGTTTTATTAAACCCTTACTGACCTAGGGAAGGGAAATGGCAAAATCCAGACTCTTCTACATAGCAGAGGGAAATACCCAACTCCAGTCCCCTGTAGCTTTCCTGTTTCACTTAAGGGTAAGGGTAGCTAAGTAGTTGTTGGGAAAATCATGTCCTAGGGACACAGGCTCACTGAAAGACCGAGATCTATTCATAGACCTATAATATGCTTCTGTCCCCACCGAACAACTTTCCACCACATTAATAAGGCTCCTACATAACATCAGGGAAGTTAGCTTAACGAACTACAAGCCTCAGATCTTATTTAAGAAAGAGGCTCGAGGGGAACTCAAATACTAGAGGAGACACAAAAATAAAGAGTAAATTTTCACCTCTTCCACCACAGCTATAACATACAGAAAACACAGCCTAAATCCTAGCCGGATCAACACAAAACCTCACACCTAAGGCTTATCTGTCTCAGTTTCTAACTTACCCAATATATCACGTCTGACTCTTAATGTCAAAAAAAAGTGTAAGACATGCTAAAAAGTACAAACAAAAACAAAAAAGAGTCTGAAGAGACAAAGCAAGCATCAGATCCAGACTCAGTTATGGTAGAGATTTGGGAATGATCAGACTGGGAATTTAAAGTAATTGTCATCAATATGCTAAGGGCTCTAATGGAAAAGTGGGCAAAATGCAAGAATGGATTGATAATGTAAGGAGAAAAGGAAACTCTAAGAATCAAAAACAAATGCTAGAAATCTAAAACATTGTAGCATAAATTAAGCATGCCATTGATGGTCTCATAAGTAGACTGACACAGTAGAGAAAAAAAAAATCAAAGCTTGACAACCGTCCAAACTAAAAGACAAAAAGAAAAAAGGATGAGGAAAAAAATGGAATAGAATAACTAAGAACTGTGGGACAATTAAAAAGTGTTAGAAATTTTATCAATAATTAAATTTCAAAATAGAAAGCACCAGGCCCAGATCAGTTCACTGGTGAATTCTACCAAACATTTAAGAAGGAAATTATACCAATTCTCTACAATCTCTTGCAGAAAGTAGAAGCGGAGGGAAAACTTCCTAACTTATTCTGTAAGGCCAGCATTTAATACCCAAACCAAAGACATTACAAGAAAGAAAATGACAGACTACTATCTCTCAAGCATAGATACAAAGATCCTCAACAAAATATTAACAAACTGAATCCAACAATACATGTAAAGAAGCATACACCTGATCAAGTGGGATTTAATCCAGATATGCAAGGCTGGCTCAACATCTGAAAATCAATTAATGTAATCCATCACAACAGGGTAAAGAAGAAAAATCATATGATCATATCAATAGATGTAGAAAAAGCATTTAACAAAATCCAACAGCCATTTATGATACAAAAAAAAAAAAAGCTCTTAGCACAGTAGGAGTACAGGGGAACTGTCTCAACTTGATAAAAACACATCTACAGGGCATCTACATAATATTTAATGGTGAGTAACTAGATGCTTTCCAGCTAACATCAGGAACAAGTCAAGGATGTCCTCTTTCACCATTTCTATTCAACATCACACCAGAAGTCCTAGCTAATGCAATATAAAAGAGGAGGAAATAAAAAGTATACAGATTGGAAAGGAATAAATAAAACTGTCATTCACAGATGACTCTGTTTATATAGAAAATCCCAATGAGTCAACAATAAGAAGAACAAAAAATTCCTGGAACTATTAGGCAAGTTTGCAGGATATAAGTTTAATACAGAAGAGTCATTTGACTTCCTATGTACTAGTAATGAACAACTGGAATTTGAAGTTAAAAACAGAATACCATTTACATTAATACCAAAAAAAGGAAATACTTAGGTATAAGTCTTACAAAATATGTACAGAGTCTGAATGAGGAAAACTGTAAAACTCTGATGAAAAAAGTCAATGATGATCTAAATAAATGGGAGAAGCCCAATGTTCATGTATAAGAAGACTCAATATTGTTAAGAGGTCAGTTCCTTCCAAATTCATCTGTAGATTCAACACAATTTCAATCATTCCAGCAAGTTACTTTGTGGATTTTGACAAATTGAGTCTAAATTTTATATAGAAAAGCAGAAAGATCCAGTGTTGCTAACACAACATTGAAAGGAAAGAACCAAGTTGGAAGACTGACATTACCTGACTTCAAGACTTACAATAAAGTTACAGTAATCAATACAGTGTAGTAATGGTGAAAGAACAGATAAATATTTTATTCAATGGAATAGAATAGAGAGCCCAGAAATAGACCTTAACAGTTAGTCAACAGATCTTTGACAAAAGAGCAAAAGCAATACAATAGAGAAAGGACGGTCTTTTCAACAAATGGTGCAAAACAACTGGGACAACATCCACATGCCAAAAAAAAAAAAAAAAAAAATCTAGACACCTTGCACTTTTCAAAAATGAACTCAAAATGTATCATAAACCTAAATATAAAAGGCAAAATTGTACAACTCTTAGATAACACAAAAGAAAAATCTATGTGACCTTGGGAGTGTTTAGATACAACACCAAAGGCATGATCCATGAAAGAAAGAAATAATAAATTAGACTTCATTAAAATTAAAAACTTCTACTTTGGGAAAGACACTATTAGAAGAATGAAAACAGGCAGAGACCAGGGGAAAATATTTGCAAAAATGCATATCTTATAAAGAATGGGTATCCAAAATATATAATGGCTATTAAAACTCAACAAGAAAGTGACCTCAATTAAAAAGTGGGGAAAATATTGAAACAGACACTGTGCCAAAGAAGTTATACAGATAGCAGATAAACATTTGAAAATATTGTCAATAGTATATGTCAAGAGGGAATTGCAAATTAAAACAATGAGGTATCACTACACACCTGTCAGAATGGCTAAGTCCAAAACCCTGATAACATCGAAGTTTAGCAAGGCGGTGGAACTCTCATTCATTGCTGGTGGGGATGCAAAATTATACAACTACTCTGGAAGACAATTTCCCAGTTTCTTATAAAACTCAACATAGTTTTACCATATTATCCAGTAATTGTACTCCTAAATATTTACCCAAATGTGTTGAAAATTTATGTTCATGCAAAAACCTGCACACGAATGTTCATAGCAGCTTTATTCATGATTACCAAAAATTGGAAGCAACCATGGTGTCTTTCAATACGTGCATAAATAAACTGTGACACATGCACACAATGGAATATTAGTGATAAAAAATGGGTTATCAAGCCGTGAAAAGATATGGGGGAACCTTAAATGCATATTGCTGAGTGAAAGAAGCCAATCTGAAAGGCTACATACTGTAAGATTCCAACTATATGACATTCTGGAAAAGGCAAAACTATAGAGACAGTAAGAAGTTCAGTAATTGAAAAAAAAGGGGGGGTGTTGCCTGGGTGGCTCTGACGGCTAAGGGTCTGCCTTCAGCTCAGGTCATGATCTCCAGGTCCTGGGATCAAGCCCCAGGGCAGGCTCCCTCCTCAGTGGGGAGAGTCTGCAAGTCCACTTCTCCCTCTGCCCCTCCCCCTGCTTGTGCTCTCTCTCTCTCTCTCTCACTCAAATAAATAAATCTTTAAAAAAAGTTCAGTGATTGCTAGTGGCTTGAGGCAAGTGAGGGAAGGGATGAATAGGTGGAATACAGGATATTTAGGGCAGTGAAACTATCCTGTATGGTACTGTCATGATGGATAAAGACATTATGCTTTGTCAAAACTCACAGAATTATTCAACTCAAACAGTAAGTCCAACATAACATATAAATATATATATTATCAGCTTTATTGAAGTACACTTGACATACAATAAATTGTGCAGATTTAAAGTGCACATTTTTAGGGGCGCCTGGGTCGGTTACGTGTCTACCTTTGCCTCAAGTCATGACTTCAGGGTCCTGGGACCCAGCCCCGCGTCAGGCTCCCTGCTCAGCGGGGAGCCTGATTCTCCCTCTCCCCTCCCCCTCCCTCAAATAAATAAATAAATAAAATCTTTAAAACAATAAAAATAAAGCGCACATTTTAAAATATTTTGGCACATGTACATCCCTGAGACCATTACCTACAACCGAGATTTTACTTATAAATATATTTTGTATATATATTTCATATATAAGTATATGAAGGAGGCTCTTTTCCTGATCAAAGGGGAGTTGACTCAGCTGCTGGCATATGCTTTTTACCCTTTGTTCTATGCTGTTTTCTACTGGAATGTAGACACGATGTCTACTATTGTAGCAGCCTTTTTGAGACTGCCATTAAAAAGCAGCCTTTTTGAGACAAAGCCATCAAAAAGAATAAAATCTTGCCATTTGCAATGACGTGGATGGAGCTAGAGTGTATTATGCTAAGTGAAATAAGTCAGTCAGAGAAAGACATATACCATATGATTTCACTCATACGTGGAATTTAAGAAACAAAACATGAATGTATGGGAGGGGCTAGATGGGTGATGGGTACTAAAGAGGGCACTTGTGATGAGCACTGGGTGTTGTATGTAAGTGATGAATCACTGAATTCTGTTCCTGAAAGCAATATCGCACTGTATGTTAACTAAAACTTAAATTTAAAAAAAAGATGTGCAAAGAGAGAATAAGCTGTGATTGGTGCAGACTTTTACGATGTTGGAAGTGATCGAGCCTAGGCTGAATAACTATTTGCCAGGAGATTTTATAATTTATTTTCCAAATAATATAATCCAAAAGATTTAAGTAATGATTTTGGGCAGTCAAGATCATATATGGTAAAGCAAAAACTGGAAACCAGAATAATGTGGTTTCTTAATATCTTACTCTTTTCATTAAACCACATCTCCAGGAGACAATTGCAAAGGAGATTTAAATAGGCTCTCTCCTCCTCCCCATTCAACACCCAGCCGCATCTTTTTGTGCAGTGCCACCCGGGTCCCTGAGACACAGTGGCAAAGGTTAAAGTAAATGGATTTGGCTGTAATGGGTTCCTGGTCATCAAGGCTTTTAACTCTGAAAAACTGGATATTGTCACCATCCGTGACCCTTTCATTGATCTCAACTACATGGTCTGCATGTTCCAGTATGATTCCACCCTGACAAATTCAATGGTACAGTCAAGGCTGAGAACTGGAATTGTGTCATCAATGGAAAGCCCATCTCCATCTTGCAGGAGCAAAAGCCCACCGGCATCAAATGGGGTGATGTTCTTGCTGAATATGTCGTGGAGTGCACCAGTGTCTTCACTACTGCAGAGAAGGCTGGGGCTCACTTGAAGGTTTGAGCGAAGAAGGTCATTATCCCTATCTCTTTTGCTAATGCTCCCATGTTTGTGATGGGTGTGAAACATGAGGAGTATGACAACTCCCTGAAGATTATTAGCAATGCCTTCTGCATCACCGGCTGCTTGGCCACTTTGGCTAAGGTCATCCATGACAACTTTGGCATTATGACCACAGTCCGTGCCATCACTGCCATCCAGAAGACCGTGGATGAGCTTTCTGGGAAGCTGTAGTGTGATGGCCGAGGGGCTGCCCAGAACATCATTCCTGCTTCTCTTGGTATTGCCAAGGCTATGGGCAAGGCCATTCCTGAGCTGAATGGGAAGCTCACTGGCATGGTCTTCCATATCTCCACCCCCAAGGTGTTAGTTATGGATCTGATCTGCCTGGAGAAAGCTCCCTGGAGAAGGTAGTGAACCAGGCATCAGAGGGCCCCCTCAATGGCACTCTGGGCTACACTGACCAGGTTGTCTCCTGCAACTTTAACAGTGACACTCACTCTTCCATCTTTGATGCTGGGGCTGGCATTGCTCTCAATGACCACTTTGTCAAGCTCATTTCCTGGTATGACAACGAATTGGCTATAGCATGTGGGTGGTGGGCCTTATGGTCCACATGCCCTCCAAAGAGTAAGAGTCCCCAAACCCAGGGAGAGCACAAGAGGAAGAGAGGAGCCCTCAGCTGCTGGGGAGTCCTTGTCCCAACTCATTCACCCACACACTGAGAATCTCCTGGTCTGAAATCTGTCTCAGACTCCCTGAAGAAGAGTAGCTTAGAGAGCCCTACCTTGTATCATCAATAAAGTACACTTTACCCAGGCAAAAAGAGAGAGCGCGCGCGAGAGAGAAAAAGATTTAAATAATAGATGAGAATTTGATTGGAGGAATTTTAAGGTAATTTCCCAGACTACAATTACACATTTTTCAAAGGAAAGAGGAAAAACAAAATTTAGAGTACTACATAAATTAAAAATGAGGGTATCTTTTGCATTTAAGGACCTGTTAATTTTACTGAAGTCTCTATATTGTACTTACCAGGAGTCCTGGTTCTGGAAGAGGAGCAGGTCTTGCAAACCGTTTATTAAATTTCCTTTTCTCTTTCCTTAGGTTTTTCATATTCTCAATACGTTTATCTCTGGACTTTTGGAAAATTAAAAGGAAGGAAAACAAATCATACTTTTTATAACATAAAAAGTTAACATGCTGATTATATTTTGGGTTAGTGTCAATAAAAAAAGATAAACACAATCAGTGGATATGGTTTACATAGCTACATAAAAGTAGGAAAAATCTTTTTTCAAATATGTGGTTCATAGATGAAGAAAACACCCTCGAGCATCTCTAGAGTTTTCGAATGAGACTATTTACTTTTGATTCCCACTTTACCAACTACAGAATCTAAGGCTCATGGATACATATGTTTACTTTTATTTTAAAAGTAATGTTCATTAAAACCCCAAAGGAATTTTCTTTGTAGAAATAAGAAAACAAAATTCATGCACATTCTTTAGTTCCTTTAAATGCTGCATATGTTAAGCAGTGATTTTTATGTCCCTATTGTATGGCATCTATAAGTAGCAGAGACCTAAGGGCTCAAACTAGAATGCTTTGAAGATAATGGAGTATTAGGGTACAGAGTATATGAATAACAGAAACTTTTATCCACTTCCAGTGGGAGTGCAGTTGGTATAATTGCTTTGAAAACTATGTGGTATTACTTTATAACAATGAAAAAATGGCTTTCTCTATGATCCAGCCATTCTATTCTTATTACACAAAAAAAACAAGAATATAAAGCATTTAATAGTAGTCACATTATTCTAATAGTAGTCGCAAGATCCCAGAGTCCCATGAAAGAAAACACCAAAGTGTCTAGATAATAAAACTTCTATCATATTAGAGACCACCACACATAAAGGAACAAGACAAAGTTACAATTTTGAAATACCTAGAATTATTTATTTAAAAATTACCTGCCTTTCAGTGACGTCTGAAGGATGTTGCCATCTTGGCCCTTCCTATATAATATGTAAAATTAAATTAAAACAAAATAAACAAAAAACCATGAGCAAACAAATACTAGTTATTATAATAGGAAGCCTATGCTACTGTTTTTAATTTACGTGATATACGCACATTATCTCAATTGCAGGAGGCAGGATCAGAATGAGAACATTAAGGTAAAAAGGGGGGAAGATGGCAATAGTATGAGAAAAAAGAATCAGGTTTGAACCACATTACAGGGAGCATGTAGAGTACTGAGATTTATCATGGAAAGAACGGGTATACAAGAAATCAGAAAATTATGTTTCTGCTGGTGTTTGGGGAGATTGAGGAACCCCAGCGAGTGGTATGATTTTCTGAGACACAGGGATCTTGGCTGTTTAGTTGTGAGGTTCCCACAGCGTCCCGTAGTTTCTAAATTGTACCTTAAATACTTCCCCCCCATTTTGATCCAGTTGTTTAACCCAAAGACCCAGAAGCAGTCTCCTCCCCCATCCTCCCCAAAGTTGAGAAACTTATTCTGCCCCCCACCTCTGTAAACCCCATCCCACCTCTGGGGCAGATTAATGGGTCAGTCGACAGATAGTTGACTGTGCCTAGCTTCTAGAAGGCGCGGGGCGGGGCTTTTCCTCCTCTTGGGTGGGTCTTGCAGTCCAGGATCTAGTCTGTCTACTTCACCCTGGATTCCCAACCCTCAGCACCCAAACCGCCCGCATTGGCCATGATCGCGAGCGACCGTAATCGCAAATGTCCCCAGTGCAAGGCCCCGGGTAGGGGTCGCCGAGGCGGCGTTAGGGCCTCGAACTCACGGCGCTGACTTGGATGGCTTCGTCCTCCGTACAGCACAGGCACATGCTGCTTATGCTGCAGAGCCCCCAGGCGCTCCCCCGCACGCACTGCAGGACCCAGACCAAGTGATGGAGGGACACACCCCCCACCGCCCCGGAGCCCCGCCCCGTCCATCACAATTCTCTTTATCCTCCCCCTTGGGCCCCGCCCTTTCCCTTAGCAGTCTTCCAATCCCGTGCCGGGAGGGTCAAGTTCTTGCGGTCCTGAGCGCAACTGTAGCATTAGGGCTGGCGGGTTGCCCCAGTTCTTCCAGCACTCTGGCTCCAACAAGTACAGAATACATTTCCATCGTTTCCATCGTCTCTGCCCTCTTTCAATGGAGCCCTTTTTACCTACTAAGACTTCTCGCGTGGTTCCGCGGCCCTTCAGTTCAGCCTGTCGTCAGGGTTCTCGGTTCCATCCCCTCATTGTTCTTCCATCACCGCTGTAGGTTGGATCCATCAAGTTCTCTGCCTTCTCCCTGTCAACACCTGGGCTGGGGAAGGGGTTTTGGGGAACTGCCCCAATGACATGTTGTACATGATCTCCAACTTAAACCGGGTCTTCACCACGGCTTCCCACCTCTTCTATGTTTGCCTAGCTCTTTCTTTTTTGTACTCTGCAGCGCTCCCTTCAAACTGTCTCCTCTGTTGAAATCTCTGAGCCCACAACTCTTACTTCATACACTGAGGATGGCTCACACTTCAGGCGAGCTTATGCTCCGCACTGTTCGCTGCACGTGCATATATGAAGTCCTGAGCTCCTTACAACAACACAGGAGAGTAAAGGCATGGTTGTTATCGTTGGGAAGATCAGGCATTAGTATGTTAAATATCTTGCCCGAGGTTACACAATTAGAAGGTATTCTGGGACTTAAATCCACAAAGTCTGTTTCCAGGGCCCGTGCTCTTTGATCTCTGTGCTCTACCACCAATTGCTTCCAGAAGCCCAGACTGGAGCTACCTCCCTTCCTTACCACCTCCAAGTCTGTCCCTTGTTTGTATCCACATTATCCTTTTCCCTGTAATGCTGTTAAATTGAAAAAGTTGTTGCCCCTCTTTTTGTCTGGAATAAATCTGTTCATTTTTGTTCCCATGTTATTTTCCTCCTAGAAGATGCCTCAGAGATCTTGCTCCAGATTATTCCCTCCCCTTGTTAACCTCTCTATATTCTCTGGTTTCTTTAAACAAGTAAATACAGTGTGTTCAAATCATCCCCTAATTAAACTAATAAACCAAAGCCCTTTGAACAACTAATTTTAACTCTTGCCCATTCCCTGTATTTACAGTAAATAATCATAAGCCCATGTCCTATTCCCTACACCCAGTGCGGTATTTGGCTCACTGCAACCTGCTTCAACGCTTACTACCCCCACTGGTACTTGTTTCAGCGTGGTCACTGGTGATCTTCCTACTCAATTCAATGGACACTTTTTACCATGTGACTTTTGCATAGTGTTAGGAACTGCAGCGAGTTCTTTTGGAAGAGTTAGGCTTAGGAAAATTAAATTATGTTGCCCACCGCCGGTGCTTGAAACCATTGACCACTTCCTTCCTGAAACTCTTCTCTCTGGGAAGAACACAACTTAGAAAAATTATGTAATCTTGCTCGTGATCACAACCCAGGAACTGAATTGAAATCCTGTGCTTTCTCCACTCTCCCATGTTGCCTCAAAAACATCTGTTTCGGATACTTACTATTATATATCTTGCTAGGTCCTGGGAATACAAAGATGAATAAACTGAATTACTGCCCTCAAGGAAAGTCAGATAAAAAAGCAACAATAAAATAGTAAAACAGTGTGTTGGGAGTAGTAATAGGACACATGTTCTGCAGAAATGCAGGAGCCTCTAATTCTGTCTAAGGACGAAGCTTCAAGGTAATGCCAGAATCCTTACCAGTGGAGTAGTCGATTGGCCACTGATATGGGTTCCATTCTTCTGATTTTCTCAGCTACCTTTGCCTTCCTGGAATGATGCTTCCACAGGTGGATTCACCTGTTATCACCCCTAGTTTGTGTAATACCTCTAAAGCAGGTGCTTTAGCTTAAGGACAGAACCTGAAAGTGCATCTGGAAGTGTCTGGGCTGTACTTTAAAGGATGTACAGGAATTTATCGGGTAGCTAAAGACAGATCATTCCTGATGGAGGTAGCAAGCATGTCCACATGGTAGGGGGTAGGGCTTGTGGGTTTGATCAATAAGGAACTATTGTCAAATTGTTATCACTCTTCATTCATCACTTCTCATTGCCTTTCCTCCTCCTTTATCTGCAAAACAAACAAACAAAGCAATCCACCAGGACTGATGTTGACAAAAAAACAATGATTAGCTGGATTCAGGCACCGTGAGACTGCTCTAACACAGTGTTTCAGTGTATGTCTGAGGCTTATTAGGAAGCAGGTGGTGGGACTCACAAAGGGTCCACATTCTGCCTTCACTGCCTTCACTTGAAAACTTTGTGATCCTGGCCTATTAATGATCTTACATCAGCTTCCATTCTCCTTTCTATGTTTATAAAATGGGAATGATAATATCTAACAACATAGGTATTGGTTCAAAAACTCGGGAATTTCTCAGGTGAAATCTGAAACTGACCCCTGTTCATGGGGGCAAGGAGAGACAGAAGAAAAGAGGCAGGCCACTCCAAGTTTGTAGGTGGCAGGTTTAATACGCAAGAAAACTTACATATGAGGCTTGTCTTGGGCATTCAAAAGATGAGTAGATCTCTGTACCTGCCCACTTGAATCTAGAAGTTTATATAGAGGCCTTACGTGGGTTTAGTTACCTATTAAGTCCATATGATCTCCACAACACCTTACTCTTTCAAGGCTGTGTCCTTGAAGATGGCTCCCACTGGGGAAATAGTAGGCAGGACGTACATTCTAAGGACAAGGGAGGGGGTAAGAAGCCTCTGACATTTTCAGGGTCCAGTTCTTAGGTCAGCTGCAGTCGCATCCTTTCCATGACCTCCAACAATTGGGTTGTGTATGAGCATTAAGAATAATAGAAGTAAGGAATTGGGGAGTTAATTCCTTACTAATTGAAGAATTACTCAATAATCGTAGTTGTAGTTACATTTTACTGTAGAATCACCCAAACGGAAAGAACCTTGAATCTCATCCAGTCCAATCTTCCATCTGATACTTTAAGTCCTATCAATATGTTAATTTTGTGGCAGATCCTTCTTTTGATTAAATTAATGGATAGGGAATTCAGTGCAGTCCATTCAGTTTTTTTTTTTTTTTTTTGGGTCTCTAATTATTAAAACCTGTAACTTCAACCCACGAGTTCTAGTTCTGTCCTCACAGACCTCACAAAAGAAGCTAATTCTCCTCTATCTGATGATAAGGTTGGGGAAGAGGCTGAGGTTGTCAGAATCTACAGGCTTAGAGCAGGGACCCCACAAGTTGGGAACCAGCTCTCTGAGGAGGGGAATATTGCCAGACTGAACTGGTCAGAGCTGGGAATCAGGGATCTTGTAGGAGGGGGTGCTGTCTGGCAGGTGCTGTAGGATTAAGGACGAGCAATAAAACCAATTCTGGGTGTGTAGGAAAAATAGAAACTGAGAACAGCTGCTGCTGGAGACACATGCTACCACCAGGTTTAACGTGTCACTTCCGGGGTGACACTGAGAGCAAGGAAACAGGCATGAGTAAGGTCCTTCTCCACTCCACTCACCTTCCAGGCTTCCTCCAGCACCCTCACTACCCCCATCCTCGCCATTGGCTAAACCTGCCAGGACTTGAGCTGGCTAAATTTCCAACTTTTTATTTCTAAAGAGAAATAAAATGTTACAAAGTCCCAGGTTTGGGACTTTACAAGGTAGAATACGGAAGAGCAGGTTTAGAGCTGGAAGACAACAGCAACCATCATGCCCCAAATCACCCGCGGCCCTTCATTTAGATGTGCTTGAGGATGGTTTCAGATCTCCCCACTATCCAGGTTGACAACCCGTATTACCCTACAGTCAGACAATGTCCTGCACTGGGCACAAAGCTCAGAGTGTGATATGACCAGGAGTGAAGGGGCAAGAACATTAACTTCCCAAGTCTGGACAGTACATTTGCATAAACATTGTCTTTGCAAAAATGGATAAAATTTAACTATAAAATAAATTATGAAAACTCCAGAATACTAAATGCAAGCATAGTCAATATTCACGTGTGTCATGTTTGATTGGTATAGAGCTGTATTTCTCAAAGTAAACCCCAGAAACTACTGGCATTCCAAAATGTTTATAATTTTATGTGAAAAACATGAGTAAACCAACCACCCTTTGCCTTTATGTAAAAAAAAAAAAAAAAATGGGTACCAAATAAGTTTGGGACATTCTAGGTTAAACAAAGTTAAACACCTATCTTTATTGTCGGACAACTCAGAACCTAAAATGCGCAAAAGTGATTATGAACTTCTAGAAGGGTATATATTATACGGTGTTTCTCCAGTTTACTTGCTTCTGGGATCCTCTTTTCAGGTGCCATCTGTAATCTCTTTCATATGGAGAGGCTTCTAGATTAAAGATAGTTGTTATTTCTGAATAAGTATTATTTTATATTACTTTAAGCATGGCCTTGTTATGTCATAAACTACATTGACAACTCTGGAGATCATTATTTAAATCACAATTTTTTTCATATCCAATTATTTTTCTCGTTTTCTGTCTAAGTAATGTGTGCTGATTTTTTAGATCTTAAATGTCTGTTTCATAATGCAAGTCAGATTAGCTGTTAAGAGTGTTCCCATAATGTAGCTGGTGTTTTTATTCTCTTTCTCTGGGTATTTGATAAATAGATATCCACTGATGAGATCAGTTAAAGCAGCATGGTGCTAATAGAGGCTGTATCTACCCTGGGTAGATAAATAAGATAGGATTTGTGAAAATGAATAGTCACACATTTTTCCTTAGTTTAAATATTAAGTATTTTCTTCATTTTTTGCAAATGAAAACTTTTGAGGTTCATGTTTCTTCAGCTTTTCTTCTGCCATCCCCAGTATTGTAAAACTTGGATATTTAGCAACAGAATTTATAGAAATATTTAAATATTTCATTTACATCTTAGGAAAAAATAGCTCATCCTGTTTGTTTGAT